TACAAGTATTTTGCACGATTTCATTGATGTGCATGAATCTCTGTAATTTTATACAAATTTACTCGCAGCGTACAATTCAAGTATTTTCCATATAGCAACCCTTTGTCAACTAGTCTCATTCAATGCTGGAACTGTGAAGTCGTTTTAAAATGAGAACACCTTGAAGTATCCTGAGCAACGCACAACTCGTTTTTTAATATATAAAAACGTGAATTTTCTAACGAGTATCTATAAGCGAGTATATACGACGAGTGCGATGAGTGTTCACATGCGAGTACAAAACTAAAATCAAATGCTGGAATTTTTATATGAATGTAGAGTATAAATTCTTGCTGTTATAGAAATTTATTTTCATATACATTTTTTATATACAATTTATATATTCTAAAATATTTTAATATATTTTTTGTACCAAATAAAATATATAAAAGGGATAGGTGAGCGGTTTCCAAAGTGTTAATAAGTAGAATGTACTTGTGGCTATGATTGATTCAGTGATGTTCTAGTGATGTTCTATATTCCATTAATAAATGTCATGTATATATAACACTCAATAGATTATATATTTGCTACATAAATATATATGGATGGCTTGTTGTTGATTTTACTTTTTGAATAAGACATTCATGGTAATAAATTCTGTCGAAGGCAATTCTATAATTTACCTGAAATACTTGTGCGACTGTTTCCAGGCAACAAGTATGATGAACACCTTCCACCGAATTTCATGTGGAATTTTAATTATCCCGACGTATTAATTTCTCTCACGTAATTAATGTGTTATGAGCCACGTTTTCATAATTATGCAGTGCATAACTCAAAGTTAATTAACTCAAAATAACTCAGCAATTTGTAACTTGAATTCAGTTTAGAAATTTGTTTCTTAGCTTGGAGTTTCTAATTAAAATTAGCATTTTGTATGCAAAATATCTATTAAAATGCATGTGACATAATCTGTAATCTCGATTGATATCGAATCCAATCAGCTCTATGTATGATTGGAACTTTTGAAAATTATATATCACATTTTTAAATTTAATTAAAAATATGCGATTACATGAATGTGCTTAATTTAATAAAAAAAATAATAAATTTTTAAAATATTCTTTCTAGATCTATTATAGTTTCAGCTAGTTCTTTATAGACAATCATTAAACCAGTTTTTAAACGGATTTGTCAGCACGGTTGTAATTGTCCTTAATGACTCGTTACATTTAACATATGTCTTTGGGATGGACCGATAAGTAGCTAAGTAAGGCATACTTGTTGTTTCTAAGTACGGATGCAGTTGGATTCTATGAAGAGTATTATCGTATTTTTTTTACAAATTTATCAACTAATTGTCTACTTTTAAATTCTACATTTTTAGACATCAAACAAGTCTTAATTTCTCTATATTACCTAGTGCGGGTATAAAAGTAAATCTCTATGATAAGTAATAATGGTAGTCCACATATTTCTTCAATATTTATTATTATATGTATTGTTTTTATGCCTCTTATTGAAGCATTATATAGTATGGATTTCAATGTCCTGTTAATGATGTCTTAAATTGAAACAAAATAGGTAAATTAATGAAAACAATTAATTTTTTTGATTTGGTTAATTGATTTTTGGCAATATTGAAGACAAATAAATTTCGACATATGACCGCCAGAGAACTTTGAGAATATTCTCTATTTGATTTTTAATAATTTAAGGCTATATCTTACGAATTATTATCTTTGCCTAAAATCTTATTATCTTGTCTTTGTTGCCTAAAATCTACGATGACATTTTTGCATAAATATATAATCTTAAAAAGGGCTGCAGTAAGTAGTTATATAGCGCCAGATTATATATTACTTATGGTTAGGCAATGTGTTAATTTCTGAATGTTATGCAGTTAATGAGTTTATTTTTTAATAGTCGATGGTGCCTAGAAGTGTGACAAGACACCAACCTGTAAAAATCGAAAGTCATGTTCACGCGTTTTTCGGAAACAGAAAATTATTGATCATTGTTTAGAAAGTGCTATGTCTCAGAGAAGCCAGTAATCCATTTACCCTATCAAACCGTTAATTGCTCGTAGTATTTCGAAACAAAATGGAACTGTATTGAATTATTTATCATTGTTTAGAAAGTATTATGTCTCATTGAAGCCAACAATCCATTTACCATACCATACCGTTAATTGCTCGCAGTATTTCGAAATAAAATGGATCTGTATTAAATTTTTCTAGTATTGAATGTGGTTAAATTGCTTATTAACAAATTCATTGAAGCAAAAGTTAAGTATATTGTTAAACAATATTCTAAGATTAGAATGTGGATCGGGATTTAAACCGTTCAAATCTATCGGCGAATTATACTCTCTTTTTCGGAGTTTCGGAGATCAATAATAATGTTATAAGTGAAGATTTTTGGTACTTCAAATAGCAGTAACGTTCTTAATACTAAATGATTCTCAAACGCTATATATTTCGATACTTATCAAATTAATTACTTGTTTTTAATACTTTTTGACTTTTGATTTGTTTCATTTCATCTATATTATTTATAAGGTATAAGGTGCTATATAAGGTATATAAGGTGCTTTATAACAACAATTTTCCGTGATGAATGCAGTGAAAGGAAAAAATAAATCTGAAAGGATTACAATTTCGCTGCAGTTGAATATTTCCAACTAGTCAATTGTTTTTCTATAAGACTATGGTGGTGATTTCATTAATAGTGCCTGGGATATCTTTTAATTTGATTAAGGTTTAAAAAATCTGTTTTTGAATGCTATAGAATTCGTCAAGTGAGAAAAGTTTTTGCAGCCATTTGGTCATAGACATAAAAAGTTAGAAGTTAGAATTCTACTTAAACTATATTGTCCTAGTTTGAAAACTTTTTAAATTTTATAGTATTTATCTCATAGTAATATATTTCAGTATTTTATAAAAAAAAAATACATTTCAAGACAAATATACCTATAAATTCATGTGGGAGTATAACCAATTAATTTTGAATGAAAATTTAATTAAAAAGTTGAGTCTATTTTTATGGATATTAAATAAGTTAAAACCACATTGTTGGTTTTATTGACAGATATTTGTTATTGCATAAAATGAAGAAATTAAAGGTTTCCTCTCTAAAAAGGGTTCTGTTTAAAATTGACTGGAAATTATATAGCAAGAAGAAATTTCAGTAACACACCCACTTCCGGCGATCCTATACATATCAATTTAAGTACTAAAATTATAAAAAGTGGGGAAACCGCTAAAAACAATTTGCCTGCAACACTGAACATGATGGCATCGCGTGAAAAATTAACTTCACATCAAAATACTACACTTGGGAATGTACAACCACAATCTGTTAGGAGACAAATTATGAATATGAATTCTTTAGTGGTTTAACCACCCACTCGTCTGGTATGTTAAGGGGTTAAAGCAGAGCTCTGTAGGTGGTAAGGTTTCGCAATTAAAAAGCAATTATTTAACAGTAGAGCGTGATGCGACGTAAGGTTTTTCTGAACTCAAGTTAAAACAATATTTAATAATACAAATAAAGCGTTCTGATGTTGGAAAAAATAATATAAAGAATAATAGATTAAATACTAACGGCCTTTTATTCTTTAAATTTTTGCCAAACAATGGTACTTAAGTATATTCTTTTAGTTGTGGTTTATAAAAAGTTATATATCATAATCGATTTTATGATTCTATATATACACAATTTGTATCTATAATTTAGTATTTTAATCAGAATTTTATTTCACTAATATTCAAGATTTTTGAAAATAAGTGCTCTAAAAATGATTCATTAAAAATGATCAATCCATTAATGCTCTTTTGATATGCAAGTAACATTAATAGAAACTTCACATCAAACTGTCGCTTAGTTCTCGAAAGGAGGAATTAGTGTATATTACAATGGAAAAGTTAATATTCGCTTGCTTTTATATATAAAAGTAAATTGGACTGGAGAGTGCGTATGACTTAATTAAAATAATGTCGTCAATTTTATTAAAATATACTTTGAAAAAAATAGTATTTTTGTTGAAATATATGTAAAAAATAATATTTTTAAAATAAACCACATTGTTATAACTACTTTAAAATTGAAGATTTGTTCTTTAGATTAATTCCAAAGACTGTTATATTTTGTTATATTTCATGCACATAACATATCACTCAATTGATCTGATGTGTAGTTAAGACAAAAAATTTTTTTTTTTAATTTGAAATTATTCATCAACAGAAGGAGAGTTTCTTGAATGATACATTCATACCAACGATTGCAATTTTGTGATACCTTTTTTTAAAAATATTATTTGTCTTTGCTATCCAAATAAGTCCAAACTTCGGCAATTACTTTTCTATTTGAAGAAATTTTTTTTCTAGAACATCTTTCTGATTTTTGCAAGAAGTTTGTAATCACTGTTGACCAGACCAGAAGAGTACGGTGTGCGGTAAAGTAATACCAAGAGAAATTTATTCACTTTAACCAGTATTTTCTTGGACTTGTACTACGAGCTATTGCCTTTGTGAAAGATTTTCTTTGAATGTGAATCCGTTTTTTTTATTTTTGTTCTTACTCAATTCAATAGTGTCATATAATAAGTGTTATAAAGTCAAGAAAACACCAAATAATATATACATTAATATAATTATATGTAGTAATATATAATAT